GAGACGGAGGGTCTCCTCTTTTATACCTCATCCAATCGCACACACACAAACAAACACATACACACACACATATATATATATATACATAAACACAGACACATGCGCACTCCCTTCTGCGCATGTACACATACACATGAATATGCTGAGGTCCGGGAGCCAGACTAAATTTGCCCAAACGTCGCTGTACCATTTCCCTTTGTCTGTCCTCCCATCTTCAGCATTTCTCGTGTCAGCCTCTTGCTGTACTCTTCGCAATCTTGTTTATTGGACGACTTTACTCGAGAGCCGGCTCACCCTCCGGCGAAGAGGTGAAGGCAAAAAGTAAAGCATACTCTGCAAAAGGGAGGAGGAGCGAAACCGGGGAGGGGCGACATATGGACATGCGCAAGAAGTGGGATTCACTGAAGGCCACGTGTAACGAGGGTGCACATCTCCACTGGCCTAAGGCCGCCACAGCATGGGCAAGCTTTTCCCACCTAATTAGACACTCTCTACTACCTGTCCGGGGATCTTCTTCCTCACCAGGCAAGACCGGTTACATGTACACATGTTTATGCTCTCATCGTGTCCGGCCGGTTGTGCAGCCACGAGGCGAGTCTTGAGTTATGACGAAAGTGTCGGCTCCGCCGCCGGCTCATCAAGTGGCGAACTTGGCAACAGAGAAAGTGCCCACAGCGCAAATATTGGGAGAGGAGGAAGATTAGTGGTTCTCGGTTTTGCTCCTTCTCCTCAAGACTATGCGTTTCCGTGTTAGTCGAACGTCTAGAACAGAGGGCGAGCAAGAAAGCCTCTCTCAACTGCTTCCTTGCGTCTGACAGGCTACAGTTCCATTCACGTTTTCACACCACAACTGTGTCTCAACAAACGCCTGGTCGGTTACCTTCACGATTGGATGCATTGTGTAGTGGGGGAGGCAAGCGAAAGGCCAATCACAATTCGCCAAGCCAGGCGCACATTTCGTTCATTTCTCTTGATAGGCAACCATTTTCACAACTACTTCTCGAGCTAACGGGCCAAGAAGACTGGCCAGACACATCT